TCTGACACTGTGCTGAAAAGTATGAGATATATTTGAGTGAAATGCGGTAAGAGAGATTGCTGGACTGCTTTTTATGTAGCCAGTTGATGATGCTTGATGCTGAGGATGTGTAATGGTGCTCAGAGGTGGGCATTTGAGCATGCAAGACAAAAATGATGCTTCTCTTACTGCTATAGCATCATTCTGCATTTGGAAGAACTTCAACCTGTAAACTGAGCAATGGCTAATATCACTGCTTAAATTCAGAATGTGCAAATATATATTTATTAAAAGCACCCTGAAGCTACTAATGGACTGAATTTGAATGCCTTCATCTCTTTCATAAATCACAATTTAATTGTTTAAAAATTAAACATAAACATGGAATCAAAATGTACACTATTTACTAAATACACGTTTCTGGTATTGTTGTACATGATTCATCGGTGCATGTTATTCTGAATAACAAAATATTTTTATGAATAGTCTTCTATCAAAATTTAATTTCGTTTTTTTTTGTCACTGAAACAACTTTTCATTTCAGCTGACGTCACAGAGCACGCATACTGCGTATCCTCACTCCTCCAATCGCCTCGCTCCTTTCTGGTGCTAATATTTTTATTTATTATTTATTATTATTATTTATTTATTCCCGCATCTTCAGCGCCATGGCGAAAGAAACTCGAGTGTTAAATGTAAGTTTGTCGTCTGTATCAAATGAGAAAAAATAAAACATCTTGTAGGACTACCGTGAAATAATGGAAAGAAACATTTATATGGATGCATGCTAGAACGGCATGCTAATGTAACCAGTGTAGCCAGATTCCCGATCAAAATAACTCTTACGAGACTTTTCTTTTAATGAATAGTTCAAAAACACGAATTTAATTGAATCCTAATCTGACACACTAAACAGCAAATGATTATTCTATTATAGTGTCCGTATCGAATTGAAGAAAGTTATCAGTTGCGTAACTGACTGACTGTGGCCATGTGACAACGTGTGATTAAAGACAAATTTATTTATTGTAAAAAAAAAAGTATATTTTAACAGATCATTCAAAATATGTGCACGATATTATAAAATGTATCATATATAAAATGCAGTGGGGGTGGACATGATTCTACCACTGCACCAACAAAATTCTGTAGAAAACATGTAGGCCTAAAATAAAAATCCAATTCGCTAATTGAATATCCTGTTTTAGCTGATTACAGAAGTAAAATGTGTTGCAAATATTGTTTCATGTTGACTATGTCAAAAATGTGCCATTTACAATAGTATAGTAATATATTATAATCATGTGAACTGCAGTGTTGGGTGTAATTAGTTACTGTAATTTAATTAATTTTCATTTGAAAAAGTAAAGTAAGGGATTACTCTTATTTTTTCTGCAATTTAATCACAGTTACTTCTTATGTAATTGAACTTAATACTGTGTATAGACTATAGAACATTTATAGTGGATTTAACAAAAATGTAAAGTCTAACCTTAAAATGCATGCTTTTTATGTACCCTTCTCACATTAAATACTTTGGTGAGTTAATAAGAATATTGGTAACACTTTAGTGTCCAATTCTCACTATTAATTATTTAGTTATTAACATGAATATTACTAGGATATTGGCTGTTTATTATTACTTAAAAAACACATATTAATGTCTACCCAATTCTTAAACTTAAGTACTTTAAGTATTAATAAGCAGTAATTAGGAGTATATTGAGGCAAAAGTCATAGTTAATAGTTAGTTAATAGTGAGAATTGGACTCTTAATCTAAAATGTGACCAGAATAATTTTTGTTATCTATTAATTATTTGAAAGAATTAAAATAACTTTTCATGTCTATCCTTATATCATTAACTGGTTGAGGTTGATATAGGATTTAGAAAGTAATTAGTAATAAGTAATTAAATACTTTTTGGAGAGAGTAATTTGTACAGTAATCTAATGACACTGTTGAAGATGTAATTAGTAACTAGTAATTAATTACTTTTTTAGAGTAACTTACCCAACACTGGTGATCTGTATATGGATGTGATACCGAATGTGATGTCATTTTAAAAAGCATGCCCTCAACTCTCCAAAGGTGACCTTAGATTCAGCTGAAAATACGTTGAGAATTGTCACAGTGCCAACACTTACCAGGCACCACATGGAGTTGGCATTGTGTTCTCCTTGTCCAGGCAGGAGGCACATAGCAGCACACAGCAAGAGAGTTGATCTCTTTGTACTCCAGAATAGCTCTTCTTCTCTCACCACCCCGCCTTTCATTGTTCTGATCCTGCTGTCCTGAAGCACTTTGTAGAGGTGCGGTACACTGGCTAGAGTTTCATCAGTCTGCTGAAAGCTGCACAGTTTAAGAGGGACCACATTCTAAATATTTAGACTGTCTTGGCATACACTGCCTGTCTTTTGTAGTTAGACGATTCGTCACTACGCGGTCACTACATCTCACTCCTGCAGGGTGTCTTAGTTGATGAGCTGCTTAAGTGGGAGGAGGTGTAAGAAAGAAAACGGGGATAATATGAATAAATAAGGCAGATATATGTGAAAAGTCCTCCTCCTGCTCTACAGGGAGTTCTCTCAGCTTTACTCATGGAGCTGTGAGTCTCGCTGCTCTTACAGATCATGTTAAATATAAGAAGGACATGAATTATGTGCCTCCCAGGCAGCAAAGCACAGGGAATGAAACAAGGGTTAATTGTGTCTGGCCTTTCGATACTGAGATAATGGCATCTAATGCTAGATTCAGACAGCCTAATTTAATTTATTTAATAACAGATAAATTCGTAGTTGTAATTATAACTTTTTTTATTTTGTGGAACTGCTCTGTTATGAATTTAAAAAGCTGAACATCATCATCAGTGCTGGGGGTAGTAAGTGATTACATGTAATTTGGATTACGTAATCAGATTCCAAAGAGGTAGTACTTGTAATTAGATTATATTACATTCCTACAGTTACTTTTTTATTGATTACATGTTAAAATTACACTGTGTGTGTCATATTGTTTAGCTTTGAATATTCACAATGTAGCATGGCCATGTAAATGTCATGTAAATTAATTTGCAGTCCATGCTTTTGAATTTGGAGACAAAAGCAACACTCAGTCAATTATACCATGTTAATATTTCAATAATTTAACAACACATTTGCATGTTCACAGTTCTCTGATGTCAGTTAATGATCACTGACATGCAGGTCAACAAATAAAATATTTCAAATGTGGAAATTGAATTATTTTTCATGATGTTTATAACAAAGAATGGAATATATTTAATTTCTCTTTGCTTTTTATAACAATAACCCCATTTAAATCTATAAACAATTGGGGTCAAAAGTAATCTAAATGTAATCCAAAAGTAGTCAGAATACATTAGGCCTACTTAAAATTTTATAATCTAGATTACATTACTGAATACATTTGTCATCATGTAATTTGTAAACTGTACACTCTTAAAAATAAAGGTGCTTCACAATGTCATAGAAGAACCTTTTTTGTTTATTCTTCAGAATATAAAAGGTAAGAAAGAGATGGTTCTTTAAAGAACCTTTGACTGAATGGTTCTTCTATGGCATCGCTGTGAAGAACCTTTTAAGCACCTTTATTTTTAAGAGTGTAACAAACTACAATTTGTAAGTAATCTACCCAGCACTGATTATCATTTATACAAAAAAATAATCTATAAACTCTACAAATGTCTACAAAAATGGTAAATTCCATTTTTTTTTTTTGTATATACTGTTACGTGTTTTAAGAGTCTTGTTTAAGACCTTGACATGCTTATCGAGGTGGCATTTTAATGAAATAATTTCTTCACGACTAAAGACATAGTGTAATGGCAGTCAGGAAGGAGGGAATGGCATTCCCGTGCCGTGTGTAATATTTAATTAGAAAGATGTCAAATAACAAGTATGGCAGCTTTGCACTAAAGCACTTTCCCTACATTACATGCATTGACACAGATGAGTTGAGCAGGCTCTTAATCTCCTTCATTCAGCCTTGTTACAGATCCCCTCTGCTGGTACTATTCTAATTTATGCAACAAATCCCTGCCAGCCCTCATAATTAAATCTGTCAATGATGTGGCACCTTGCTGTGTGTGTGTGAGCACACATGAATGTGCATGCATGCATATAAGAGAGGAAGAGTCTGTGATGGGATTTGCATATGTGCATGTGATTGTGTCTTCATTTACATCAAATGTCACTAATCTTTCCACATTCGTTTTGCTTGTTGCCAAAAACAAATTAAGAAATACTTAAAGGGACAATGCAGTTTTGTCCAGTCATGTAATTTGAAATATGCAATAAAGAATCAGTCGACCATCACGGTCTGTTTTAAATAAGTGTTTTTAAAAAGTACATTTTGAAGATCTATCTGCCAGTTTCTTGCAACAACACTGATACATGAAAAAGTCTGTTAAAGTCTACTTCTTCTTAATACATAATTTATATAAAGTGGTTAATTTGGCTTGGATATGTTATTATATATTATTATATCATTATATTATTGTTGTTTTTATATATAGTTATTTTGAGATAGATAGAAGAAAGGGTAAATTCATATATGCAGCATGAAGAATGTATTATGTAAATTTTCAAGAGTCAACTTTATAAAGAATATCTCTTTGGATTTGAGACTTCAGTCTTTGCAATTTTACAGATCTTCTTTATGCACCAAGAGCTTGTAACACTCCAAAGAGAAAGGAAGACTTGAAATCGCATCATATGACCCCTTTAAAAAAAATAAAAAAAAAAGTCTATTTTACTTTTATGTAATCAGTCGATCCTTTTAAATTATGATTTCATCCAAGCTTCCTAATTTCCTGACTATTATAAACACAAGCACGTTTCTAAAAGATAAAGCAAGTGTCATGTGAACGCTGTCACTTTTCTTTCTATATTCTGTGGACGGTGGTGATGTGAAACATGACGCACGCTCATAGGCTGACGCTTTGCTCTCCTTTAACGTATGTAAAGGTGTGGGTTCATATCCTGACCCTTTCCGCGCGTGCATCATCATCTCCTCGCAGGTTGTTGCATCCTCCTGAGGGACCGTCGGCGCTCTTCACAGCCTGCACACTACATACCGGTCTCTGATTCGCAATCTGGGTAATGCCACTCATTCATTTGTGAGCTTGGATGTGTTATATTGTCTCTCACAGCATACACGCGGCTGTTCGCAGGGATACTACGGAATTACAGCCGCAACAATGATGATGTGACAGCCATCCGTTCAGACAGATAATAAAAGCTCGCTGTGCAGTGGACGCTGCATTTCTGCTAACGAAGCAAAGCCTCAGACGAGCCTTTCCCAGATGAACAGATACAGTAGTGTTCACTACTGACAAGCATCAGTCATTTGGAATAATACACTGCAAGCTGCATTACAAACATTCTGGGAGGAGGAGAAACGGTTTAAGGTAACTGAAATGTCCTTCTATATGAGTAGACATGCACGTGTGCTGAAATGGTCTGATTTGGATGTTGCAGTCTAATGGAAGTATTCAAGTGCCAATTCAGTCTGTAAATGTGTCCGGTTATGGATCTTTGTTTGTGCATGATCTTTGTTTGCATGAATAAAAAAAAAAAGAAAAATCTTACACACATATAGTAGTAAGCAAGCATACAACAGCCATGAAAGTGGGGACACTATACAGAACCACAGGACACAATACATGGGAGAATCCAAAAATATGTTGATGCTGGCACCATTTTTTATTATTATTTTATCAGGCCATATATATATATATATATATATACACACACACACACACAGTGGTTAAAATCTATCTATTTTTGTTTTTATACATAATGGCTAATTCAGCCAGATTGATCAAAGAGATGATAGATAGATTTTTTTGTGATGGTTGAGCATGATAGTAGTCATATATTTCACGCAGAGCTGTTGCTTTTGGCGAAAAAGTCATGTTTTCCACAGTGGGAAAGCATATGTTTTCTGTTTCTAGCAGACATGACACATACACAGATGCTGTTTTAGTGGAGACATGATTTCTAGGCCAGTGATGCTCTATCTGCCAAGGGGGCCTGGCGTGTTTGGAGCAGCTTTTCAACTGTTTGTTTTGCTGGATTTACATGGCAAGCTCTCCAGCAGTGTGATCTTGGCAGATGTACTGCTTGAGGGAGCATGTTTGTTTGAGTCAAGCTATGGTAAACCACGCAGTCTGAAGTTTTTAAAGCCTCACTGTGAGTCGCCTTGACAGGGGAGAGCCCATCAAGGGCTTTTCTGGGAGCAATTCTTGTCTGTTGCAAGAAATGCAGTTGAAAGCTAAAGGGCTATGACACGTGTACATGAACATGACGTAATACTATACTATGGTTAAAAGGGAAAATGGTGAAAGATTGTTAGCTGTTTACTGTAGTATTTAGAGGAATACTTCACCCAAAATGGGCCATTCATGATGTAGATGAGTTTGTTTCTTCATCAGAACAAATTTGGAGTGATCACTTTTTTAATCTAATTAACGGCTTGTGAAGTGAAAAACTGCATGTTTGTATAAGAAACAAATCAGGCATTTTAACTTCAAACTATCAGTTCTGGCCAAAATATGAATCCAAATTCCATAACACTTGCTCCAGTGAAAAGTCAATCCTCTGTCCTCTCACATCAAAATCCACTGATATATTTGTTTAGAACTGTTTTGGACTGTTTTTGCTTGTAAACAATGCTTGATTTGTGCATATTTCACTCCTGATTGAGACAAGATTACTTTTTCCCTGGAGAAAGCAATATTGTGGATAAAGGACTCGCATTTTAGCTGGAAGCAAAGGTTTAAAGTAAAAAACAATGATGGATGTGTTTATTACAGACACACAGCTTTTCACAATATGTTAACTGATGAACTGGAGTCATGTGAATTACTTGTGGATTATTGTGATGTTTTTATCAGCTATTTGGACTCTCATTCTAACGGCACCCATTCACCGCAGAGGATCTATTGGTGAGCAAGTGTTGTAATGCTAAATTTCTCCAAATCTGTTCCGATGAAGAAACAAACTCATCTACATTTTGGATGGCCTGAAGGTGAGTAAATTTTCAGCAAATTTTCATTTTTGGGTGAACTATTCCTTTAACAGGACTGTAAACTTCCATAGACAATAAATGACCCCTAATGTTCAGATTAGATGGCAATAAAGATGGTTTTCCAATGGCAGATTCCTATTGGTATAAATGGACAGGATTGCTTTTATTCTTTTTGACAAAGAAAAACGAATGATGATATTCCTCTTCTCTCTGTTCATTTTTTAAGTCCATGCAACTGCCCCAGATTTCGACATAAATATATTGTCTCCATACACGGCAGAGATGAGTGCTTTTTGAAGAGAATGGGGTGAAAAATCCTTCCTTCACTACCTGGCTAAATGGCCCGGTGATGGAAAAATATTGTTACAGGAATGATATTTGAATAATTGAAAAGGGCCGACTTAAAATTGCAGGCTTGCCTTGATTTCAAGTGCAAAGTTAGAGGCTTCCTCACCGAAATATTCATGCCATTATTTAAGAGTGGATATATCAGGAGAAGGGATTCATTCAAAAATGATCAGAGCTCCTGCCTCTCCATTTCACAGAGCGAGAACCGGCTCTCGCGGCTGCGGAGGAGAGATTCATTTTAATAATGAAGAAGGACATTCACCTTACTATCTCCCCACAGCGTTGTTATAAGTGACATCATAGATCAGGCCTACAAGCTGTGTCAAGAGAAGCCTCTCAGCATTGTGATTGCGGCGGTTTCTGTTTGTTGCTGACTTATGTAGCACACATCAAAAACAAATTACAATGTGTTTATGAGTGAACAGAGCACTGAGTCATCTGCTCAGTATTGCTTGAGCTATCCAAAGTGAGAGCTTTAATACTTACTGCAGAGTTGGACATGTGCATGCTTCATTGCGTTGGCATTTGCACTTTCTATGACTTGTAAACAGTGATTTAAAAAGTTCTCTTTCTACTGAATTGACCCATTAGCATGCCACCTAATTGAGTTTTTGTCAGTGGTCATGACTGAAATGTGGGAACAAGCCAAAAATGCATTTACATTTTGTGACTGTTTGTTATTTTACTATTCATTTTACATGACTGATTTCTTGTCCTGAAATTGTTGTCTGCTGCTTATATATGTCAAGTCGGGACAAATGTATTTGTATAGCACTTTTCATAACGTTAGTGTTTATAACTTAATATCTATATGGCTTATTGTCGCATTTATCAGATTGGAGCTGGGTGATAATATAGTTTACATTTTACAATGATACAAGCAATCAAGCTTATATCTGTAAGCAATTCAAGCAAATATATATGCATTTTTGCCATTACCTATTTATAGGAAAAATTCAGCTTAATACAGTATAGTCATTTATTTTTTGACAGTTTGATATAAAACAATTTTTTGCCAATATTAATTCAGTTTTGTTGCCACAATACTCCTAAATCAGCTATTACTTAAAACTATGTATTTTTAGCAATTGTCATCTCCGAACACAACAAATTTTTATAAAATATTTATGGAATAAAAACATTTATATATGTGACCCTGGACCACAAAACCAGTCATAAGTAGCACGGGTATATTTGTAGCAATAGCCAAAAATACATTGTATGGGTAAAAATTATAGATTTTTCTTTTATGCCAAAAATCATTAAGATGTTAAATAAAGATCATGTTCCATGAAGATATTTTGTAAATTTCCTGCCATAAATATAGCAAAACATAATTTTGGATTAGTAATATGCATTGCTAAGAACTTCATTTGGACAATTTTAAAGGCGATTTTCTCAATATTTAGATTTTTTTGCACCCTCAGGTTCCAGATTTTCAAATAGTTCTCAGCCAAATATTGTCCTATCCTAACAATATCACATATCCATAACCATATATCAATTGAAAGCTTATTTATTTAGCTTTCAGGTGATGTATAAATCTCAATTTAAAAAAATTGACCCTTATGACTGATTTTGTGGTCCAGGGTCACATATAAAGAAATCATATATATATAACGTAAAATAAGTTTTAAAAAATCTGTTTATTTTTATTCTATTATTATTAAAATTTTAGTTTAGTGTCTTTTAGTCTTCTTTACTCTAGCATTTGTGCACAGATTGTCTGTCCCCCTAAACCATCAGTCTCATGTCCATCAATTTTTTTTTTAAATCACCCCACAATTTTTGATTGTCTCTCTTTGTGCTTTAAATAAATGCCAGTGAATTAAGTGGGGTAGCGGCAATTGCTGAATAAGAACCCAGTCAGCAGCTGCTTTATAGCCTGACATCTGAAGCTGTCGATTTTTCTTTTATGCCAAAAATCATTAAGATGTTAAATAAAGATCATGTTCCATGAAGATATTTTGTAAATTTCCTGCCATAAATATAGCAAAACATAATTTTGGATTAGTAATATGCATTGCTAAGAACTTCATTTGGACAATTTTAAAGGCGATTTTCTCAATATTTAGATTTTTTTGCACCCTCAGGTTCCAGATTTTCAAATAGTTCTCAGCCAAATATTGTCCTATCCTAACAATATCACATATCCATAACCATATATCAATTGAAAGCTTATTTATTTAGCTTTCAGGTGATGTATAAATCTCAATTTAAAAAAATTGACCCTTATGACTGATTTTGTGGTCCAGGGTCACATATAAAGAAATCATATATATATAACGTAAAATAAGAATTTATAAAAATATATTTTTATTCTATTATTATTAAAGTTTTAGTTTAGAGTCTTTTAGTCTTCTTTACTCTAGCATTTGTGCACAGATTGTCTGTCCCCCTAAACCATCAGTCTCATGTCCATCAATTTTTTTTTTAAATCACCCCACAATTTTTGATTGTCTCTCTTTGTGCTTTAAATAAATGCCAGTGAATTAAGTGGGGTAGCGGCAATTGCTGAATAAGAACCCAGTCAGCAGCTGCTTTATAGCCTGACATCTGAAGCTGTCTCTTGATTTGTCCTTGGGGCAGGATGTGCATGCTGGCCGTCCATAAATCAGGCAACAGAGACCCGCTGGCATATACAGGCCCAGCTGGAGAGAGAGGCTAAAACTAAAGCTGCAACATTATAGGTTTGGAGGTTTCATTTGAGCATTTGAGTGTTTGAGGTTTCATTTGAGGTTTCATTTCATCATGAAAAACTCTAAAATGTTGTGTTTTATGTCAATTTTGATTTTAAATGGGATGTCTTGATAAAAGGGAAGTGAAAAATAGAATAAGAAATTGAAGCATAGCTATATTTCAATCAATCCAGGAGACATTAAAGTTGAATAACCCAAATCTTTAGAGTTGATGATGGTGAAATTAGTCAAATGAAGGTGGCCTGAGAACAAGCTCTCTCTGGTCATCAGTTTCTCAGTCAACCATCTCCAAAACTCTCACTGTCACCAGAGACATGGGATTTGATATGAT